CGCTTGGCAGTCTGCTCGACCCGTTCAGTTACGCGCCGGGCACACTTCAGGAATGGTTGCACCCATCCCTTGTGGTGGAGCAGGGCCTGGTCAGGCAGGGATATCTGGCGACCGAGATGGCCTCCAATGCACATGCACAAATTCTGTGCAGGATGCCTTGTCCGTTCCCTTTGGCCACAGCACCTCAGCCCAGCTCTTGAGTGATGGAGTTTCTGTTGACATCGACCCAGCTAGTCGCGATCTTGGGGGCTACGTTTGTTCGCAGCTCCCATGGATCGCGGCTAGCCTTTTCCTCGGGCGATGTCTGATTCTGTACATAGCTCTGTGTAGAGTTGTAGTAGTTTCAGGGCGGTTCCTCGCGACATATGGCCCCCGCCTCTCTTGGCGACGATCGTGGCAGCTCAGCTGCGTTCTTTCAGCAACCGCTTGGTGGGTTGCTGCTGCAATCGGACCGCCGGTCTCCATGATGCTGTGTGCCATAACCAGTGAGCTCTTGGCTGGCCTTCCTGGACTTGCCTTGGACTTTGGCTCTGCCCTGCGTTCCGCCAGTCAGCACTGTGTTCGATTCCTCCCTGTCGTGGGTTCTGGACCTGGCTGCGTGTGGGGACGTGGTTGGACTTGGCTCCGCAGCCAATGGCAACCGGGCTGCGATGATGAGCAGATATGGCCTTGGATCCTTTCCATCTGGCACTTCCCTTTCGCTGCGCGCGGATGTGTTATGCCTGCTGGGGCCCGCTCTAACGGCCGCAGGGTGCACGGAGTGCGTCACTGTGTGAAAGCGAGACCACGGAGGCCCCCCTGGCCCTAACTTTCATGTGACCTTGCTCCTGCTATACCTCTCGGTCGCCGACGGAGCTACTCTCCGACTGGGAGCTGCTGTCCTTTCCTCTTACCTTGCGCAGCCCCCTGAAGCCGTGCAGCTGCATGCGCACGGTTTTCATGAAGGCCTCCCTGTTCTCAGCACAGGTCCTGTTCTTCCCACTCCCAGTGCTGATGAGATGTGTGACGTCTATCCTGTCGGACGTACTGGTAACTTACTGTTACCACGTACAGACCGCAGCCGCAGGCATCTCGCTGTGTTTGTGGGGACACCTCCTGGTGCGCCCGTCCTCGACCCATGTCCCATTCCCTTTCTGGTTGATGAATGGCTACACGGGCCACTCCTCCATGCTAGGTTAGCAGCTGCTCTAGGCTTCCATGCTGGGGTTTTCTCTGTTTCTGGGGTTCGCGGAGTTCTTCCTGGGTTGCCGAGTGAACAGCTTCTCCTCACGCCAGTTGCTTGTTCATGGCGGCAGGTGTGGTTGCCCGTAGATTTGCGACAGCTTGGCGGTCGAGTGTGTATGATACAGTGTCCACGTGATTCCACATGCAGAGCAATCGCCCAACTCGCCCTTGCTGCTCAAACCTTGACGGCTGAGGTTGACCTTCTTCTTGCTCGATGCACGTGGGGCTGGCTGACCCTTGCCTCCCAGCCCCTCTTCTTGCAAGATGTTGACACTCTGCAGTTTCAGATTGGTCCGGCTGTTGATGTGTTACAAGGTCCAGTCGGATCCTCCCTTGATCCGCCCCTGTCTCTCTTTTCTGCGATGCAGGTGAGCCTTCCTACTGCTCCGGCCGCCTACGACGCCTTTCCGGGTCACTCGCATAACCAGGCTGTCCTTATCACACCCAACGGGTTAGTATATGTTGAAGCCCCGGTTTTTGCTGATGCTGCGACCTTCAGACGCATCGTGTCTACGAGGGCCTCCCCTGCCGCTACTGGGGGCGTTTTGCGTATCTGGCATCCACTTCCCTCGCTCCCTCTTGTCCAATTTCTGGAGGTTCATTGTTCTGAGGAGGAAGTGCCGTGCATTCTGGATTTCCGTCCTGTGGGCTGGAGACTGACCACTGTCTGCATCTCGCCCCCTGTCACTGCGCTCGCAGCGGTCACAGCTGCTTCGCGTCGGGATCGCAACAGTCTCCCCCTTGAATGGGTCGATCAGTGTGCCAGGGGTGGCTTCGGTCTTCTTCACAGGGAATTTTCTGTGCTTCCTGACCAGGTTATTTCAGGGAGTTTTCCGCTGGTGATCATGTTCTTTCCGCATGTTTTTCGCCAGGACTCCTCGTCTTCCTCGGAGGACCAGGTCGGAGGGTGGGATACTCCGGGTACATCGGACACCATTTCCGCCTTACAGCACACCCTGTTGCCCTCTCCTGCCAGAGCCTCTGCGTCCGCCAGCATGCCCGCCTGCACCGGCGTTACACCCTCTGAGTTCCTTAATTCCTCGTCCCCTAGCGCTGCTGAGCTAATTGAGGAGCCTGCTACGGATGCGTCCGGTGCTGTCCACCTGCTGCGAAGGCCTTGGGTAGTTTCTATTGCCTTGTGGACCTTAGGTTGGCATGCTGGAGGGCAGCCTGGACTTGGCACGTGGAGTGTTGCTATCTTACTGCTGTACATCTCGCCTGCTACAGCGGTTCAAATTCACAGCGAACCTGCCTCGCCACGCGACGCTGTTATTTCCGCTGCCAGAGCTCCTGATCGCCAGATTGCTGCCCCTGCGGGCGCCCACGCCCATCTGCAGTCCAAGTGGCTTCTGACCGGTGACTTTGGCGATGGTCCTCTCTGGTTATCACTGCCGTCACCAGACACTGTTTTCCTTATAACCTGCCGCCTTTGGCTGCCAGGCTCCGTCGTGCGCATTGAGTTCTCAAGCACCGATCGGGCCCGTGATGTTTCTGCGGAGCTGTACCGCCAAGCCATTCGCCTTGGACGCTCTCAGATTGTCGCGGCGTCGGTCGGGCCTACGCTTGAAGCTGTTCACCTTGTGTCCCTGCCCTCTCACCCGGGAGCGCTTACTGTCCTGTTTGATTTAGGCAGGGAGATTGTTTGCAGCGAGCTTCCGTTCGATTATAGTCCCAGCCAGGTTATGACTGCCGCACAGGAAGCGGCCTCAGCCAGTGACATTCAAATCTTGAAAGGCCCGGCACACAGACTTCGACACGGCGATGTCATTCGGGTGATTGTTAACTCCGAGCAACGTACCCTTGATGTCTCGGCGTTCATTTTGCCACCTCATGTCGCCTCCGCCTCTCGGTGGCTTCAGGAGTCGCGGGTTGTGTCACTTATTCATTCCGTTGAAGGAGTGATCTCTTTTGAAGTCCCGCGGTTGTGCGCCCTTGACATCACAGTGCTGAGCACCCTCCTGCAGAGTGTCATCCCTGGCCGTCATATCTTTGTTGAGATCCCTGGGGCGGATGCTCTCCCACATGCGGCGTTTGGTGTTGCTCGTCCTGGGCAAGACTGTGTTACCTATCGCCTGACTGATGCATCCGACCCATCCGCAGTTGGCCTTCTTCTAGCCTTTGCGGGAGTTTTCGAATCCTTCTCTGCCTTTCTCGACAGCCTTCTTTACAGCAATCGTCCGGCAGCTGTCTTGCTACGTAGGCTGCAGCCTTTTGGTCTGTCAGTGTTGTCCTGGGAATGCACCGTTATCCCCGGCCGGGGTGACTGTCATTATTGGCATGTCCATGTTCAGGCTGACCTCGCCAGGGCTCGGGAATACCTCCTGCATTTGCATTGGGAGCCTAGGATTGTTCGTAGTCCCCCGCCCCTGCCGTCCCCTAGGGTTCGGGTTTCTCATAGTGTCGGGGTTCAGACCAACGCTCCCTTTATTTCTGCTAGCACACCTGCTGCGGTACTTCAAGCACCCCCGACCTTATGTGGCGCGGGGGTTACGCCTGACTCTGCATCCGAGATTGTCGATCTCTGGTGTGATGCATGGCACGTAAAGTGTCTAGTTGCCTGCGTGCCTGGCTTCACCGTCTGGGCTCTTCGCGAAGGGGGTCGCCTTGTTGGCATGTGCACCCCTGCTCCTACATGGGAGGCAGTGGCCCAAGCGCTTTCTCTCTCCCTTTGGGAGTTGCCCCAGACATTCTTGTCGGATAGTACTCAGATCTGGCCGTTTCCTCGGGACCTCGCTAGTGTCGTTGGGCGATGTGTTAGTGTAGGTTATGACTCGCCTGAGGGGATTTCGCAGTTAGCGCATAATTGTCAGTCACCAGCTCCGAGCCCACCACCAGTTCCGCCAACTCTTGTGTCCCTTGTGCTTGGGTTGACTTGTTTTGGGCGAAGCTTGCTCTTGTGCGTGCTGGGTCTCTTGGCGCTCCCAGTTGATTCGGTGCAGCTGCCTCTCGAGCCCGCCACCCTGGTACCTCGGAGCTCTGCCGACAACATTTTGCATACCCGTCGTGACTTCACGCGGCCCTGCACCATGTCATGGACGCACGAGCTGGGGCGACAAACGCATGGTTTTGCAGTAGCGGCGCCCCAATTAGGTGCCTATGTTGAGCGCACTTCACCACAGTATGAAATCCAGTTGCATCTTTGGCTACCCGGGCAAGGCCCGATCCATATGCGTGTTCATGCGCGCCACCTTGACCTGCATCTTAGCGCATATCTTGGAGCCTTTTTGCCTGACTGCGAGTACGGGCTCCATGTTGCCTTTGATTCGAATCCGCAGGTTTTGGACATTTTGGTAACCCCGCCATCTCCACCAGTTTGGTGGATCCTCAGGGATTCCATTGGGTGTGAGCTGCTCCGGCCTGTGGTCCAGCACTTTACTTCTCACTGCTCTTTCTTCTTTTGTGCCATAGAGCCTGATGGTGTTGTGCACAGTGTCGAACCCTCGGCTGAGGTACGTCATATGTCACCGAGCCCCCAAGGGGCTAGGGCACTCATTGGTCGTGTTCTCCCAGGGCTGGTTGGCCGACTGGTTGACGGCGTCCTGCAGGTTATGGCGGCGCGAGCTTGCTCTCCTGCTATTTTAGGTGGCCTGACCTTGCTCCTGCTTGGGGGACGGTCAGCCGCTATGCATCCGCCTCATAGCACTGCTTTAGCTACTTTTGACGAAGTTCCACCGCAAGCTCCCACTACCATTCGGATTTGGACCCTTAATGTCCCTGCGCCTGTTGACCTGCCTTGGAGGCCGCAAGGCTACCCAACACGCTGGCTCCGTGAATTGATGTGCCGCTTACATCACATTGACGACCCTGGTGAGTTCAGGTCTACTCTCTCCTCACCTGTCGGGACTGTGCAGCACGTTCTCTTCGTGCCGGTTGTGCCAACCACACATCCTAATGCTAGATTCTGGCTGCTGCACTGGGGAGATGCGGCTGTTGTTACTTGTGGACATACCCCTTTTCATTGGGATGTTGTCTCCGCTCACATCCGGGCCCTGTTCCCAGGGGGACCTTTGCCAGACCGTTGCCCAGCTCTTTCCTTTGCAGGCCAGTTTTATCCGCCTGGAGCTCCCTTGCCTGACTTCCCGTCTGGAGCTGTCACTCAGATCATCATCGGCGCTCTTGCGCGAATACCGGGAGATGATGATCCCTGGAACCCGGACCCGCTAGTCATTGATAGCCCCTTCTTCCGACATGTGCCCAGTCGTGGCCCTGCACTGGAACCGGCCATACGGCTTGATGGGCGTGGCAATCGACTTGCTGATGGCGCCTCGCAAACTCCCCTGGTAGATCAAGGCGTACAGACTGATCTCTCAGGTAACGGTACTGGTCTCGACCATGCTACTGTCTCACGGGTTCATCTGCTGTCCCGTGAACTCTCTTTCCATACATCACGACTCTGGGCTGGGCTTGCGGAGCCTGACGCTGAGCCCGTGGGAGATTCCCCCTCCGTTCTGAGGTTGTCCTCCCAAAGCGCGTGTGCTGCTGCCTCTGCCCCGAACGTCGATTTGTTGGATATCGGAGGTACTTCTGGCAGCCGCAAGCTGGCTCTGCCGTACTCTGTTAGTTGGGTCTTAGTCGGGGCGCAACTTGGTTTTAGGGGGGTTGCGTTAGGGAGCTTTCTTGCTCTTGCAACTGTCAGTGATGGCTCCATTATCTTCCCCCCGCCGGATTGTTCGGATGAGGAGCAGTCTGATGAGGAAGATCCCCCTCCTGTCCAAGCTGAGAACATGTCTGCCGCTGCTGGTGCACCAGTCCCTTTCACCATTCCAGCTGGACCTCCTCCACCGGAGCCGGTGAACGCCCCCTTTCAACCCCGTTTGCGCTATCTTCGTGCGGCCCGCCCTCTTGAGGATTATGCTCTCGGACTTTGGCCCTCCACTCTTGATCGGGAGCCGGCTGCCGATGAGGACGTTGTTCGACGTGTCCAAGCAGATTTGCTTGGACTACAACGAGGCTTACGCACATTTGCTGCTGCCATACCACTGGGCACTCCCTTTTGTATCCACAACCCCTTCACTGCCAGACAGCAATGCGACATTGTGGAATACTCCGCTGGGCCGGAGCTTAATCCCTTTGTCCTGTTTCAAGGACATGCACGCAGCCGTGGTTGGGCCGGGATGGTCTTGCTCATGCCGCAGCCCGATGCCACAGCTGTGCACCTCATCGGCTGCCCGCAGGCGCCGGGCAATGTCGCGGTAGGTGTCGTCATTGACGGACGCCTCCTTCCATGCTGCCTTCCTGCGTGTGTCGCCTGTGCAGCGCTCCAGGCGCTTTCCCTCGACGGCCGTGAATATGATCTCCGACCTCCGGAGGCTCAAGCAGAAACTGCTGTTGTTCAATTTCGCAATGGTGACTGTCTGGCGGCGGGGCGCCGCCCATCCCGCCAGATACCCTCCCAGCAGGATGTGCAAGATGCCACTGCAGAAACCTTGGGGGTTGGCACTGATGCCGCAGCAACGGTCCCCGATTCGACTTCTGCTGCATTCAGGGCCGCTGGTTTGTGGGCTTGGCTTGTTTTCACATCCACCAGGTTGCCTGGTGTGGCGCCTGCGGGGCTCGCTCTCTGTCTCTGGCGCGCCGAGGTTTTAGGTATGCATAGGCCAGGTGGCTTCCCTTGGGGTGTCGACCCGGTTAACCGGCGGTTCTCTGGCATTACGAGTGAGGACCCGGTTGAAGTTGTCTTGCACAGTCCCTTTTTAGGGGTTTTTCCCCCCTTTACAGCCTCCCAGGACACCTGCCACACTCAGGTCTGGGCCCAGTTTCGCAATGATGATCCGGGTTGGGCGGTGGACTACTTTCCGGTCTGGCCAGGGCCTGCATTCAACGAACTTTCAATCGTCCCCGTCGGACATGACCCTGCACTTGTCACCATTATGCTTATCTGGGGAGGCCACCATCGGGCAACACTCACGCCCCGAACTATGACGGTGGCGTGGTTGACTTCCTTTGTTGCCCGCCATATCAATAGTGAAATAGGCGGGCTCTCACTTCCCCACGGGTTGGCGGTTTGTGAATATTTCGATGTCCCGCCAGCTGCTTTTCGGTTCCGCAACGGGGACGTCGTTTATATCCATGATCCCCCAGCGGACCCTGATGAGCCGTTAGAGTTTGTGGAGCCTTGGCACCTCCAAGATGGACTCGCGGCACACCACGCTCCATGGGCAGTGGGATTCCAGCTTATGTTTCCGATTTCGGTTCACCTGCTCCGTCCTGAGAAACCGCCACTGCTCACGAGCATCCCGGCCGGAGAATCGTGGTGTCCCGAGGCATTTTCGTTTTCTGGGGATTTTAGACACCAATTTCCGGGCTTTTGGACGCCGGTTCAGTGGACGAGTGCTCGTGCCCTGCAGCTTATGGCGGTTAACGAGGTTGCAGCTAAGGTTAATGTTGTAGCAGCTACTCCAGAAGGGCGGCTGTGCCGATCGGTTGATCGTGTTGCGTCTCGTGACAGCCTCGCTGCTCAGTTGCGGTTCTGCCCTGCGACGGTTCTAGTTGGCGGGGTCCCGTCATATGCCATGGAGCAAGCTTGCGAACTCCGCAACGGGGATGTGATTTTCGGAGAATTCGCTCGAGGTGACTGTGCGACTGCCTCCTGTCGTCTCGGTTGGTGGTTGGGAACTGCCTTTGCTCTATCACATCTGACCATGGCACGCCAGTTCCTGCTTGTCCTTGCTGTTGGCCTCATGCATGGTGGCCAGTCTTCGAGTCTCGGGGCCGGTGCTCTGTTTTTATTGCCGTCAGCGGCGGCCATGATTCAACGGGCACCTGCAGCCCCCTTGGCAGCTCCGGTTATCCCTGCTGCCACTGTTAACCGAGTCACCCTCACTTTGGCCAATCCCTTTGCGCCCTGGCAACGCGTTGAAGTTGACCCCAGTAATGCCTTTGAGGATGTCATCGCGGATGCACATCACACCTTGACGTCGTGGCATCGGGGGTTTGCTGAATCCGGGTTGGTGTCCGATGGTTCGCATGTTCTGGTCCCGAGACCAGGAGGGAGGCTTGCATGCATACTGGTTTCGGGTCTGGGCAGCTTATTTGTGTTGTCGTGCCCGCCTTTCTCACTCCCCGCGATTTAACACAGGCCTTGCAGCTTCGCTTTGGCCGCCGGGTAAGTGCACACCTCTCGCCAGGGCTGGCAGCGTCAACCCGGGACACCAGACCTGTGCTCGCTTTGCGATCAGGTGACTTGATAGCAGTCCGGCCTTTCCAGTCGGACCCTTCAGCAGGGCCACGCGAGACGCCCGTCTTCTTGACCTGGGGAGCTGCACATGCCGCCTCAGCATGGCATTCTGACTTTATTGTCGCTCACGCCTCCTGTGTGCTGCTGTGGTCACCCAGCCGACCCACTCGGGTCGCTCTCCTCCGACACCAAGCGCGGTGGAATGCTGCTGAGGCCACCGTTTGCCAACACGAGGAGGCCTTGGGAGTCCATCGTTGGGCGCCCTGCCACGGACACTTAGGGACGCCACCCTGGCTTGTTGAGCAAGCCACTGCTTTTGGGCGTGTAAATATCATTCAGTCTTGTGGCTCCACCAGGTGTGTCGAGATTGACAGAGGCGCTGCACATGACCTTTACATTCAAGGGTTTTCCCTCCGCCCCGCCTCCAGTCAGGCTACAGAGGAAGCCAGTGTACGCGACGGTGATTGGTGGGTTCATTCCCTTGCAGCTGGACTGCTTGGGCGTCGGCTGCCTGCGCTGACCAGACTTTTGCTCCTTGTGTATGGTTTCAGTGGGCAAGCCTGGGCTGTGTCATCCGGCTCCTCGGGTCGATGTTCCAGTGTGGACTCCTCGGAAGCTCGCACCATTCGCACCAGGATGCCACCTAGGCGGAGTCGCTCCCGTGATCGGGACAGCTCTCACCGCCATTTTCCTGCGCGAGTCGATTTCAGCAGTGGTGAACCTTATGTCCTACAGGCGGGGTGGCAGCCCGATTGTACTGATGGTCAGCTTTGTTTTGCCCGCTGCTTTCCAGGTCCAAGGCCCCTCACTACCCGAGTCCTATGTCCCTTGCGAGGTTGGAGCGAATTTCATTTTGCCCGATTGGAAGGACCATGGTCCCTGTTTGAAGCTGTTGGGTCCCGACACTGTGGTTCCTGGGCAACCCGCTTCTTCCCTGTCCGTGCGGCGTTTCCGTTCGCCCAAGTTACGCTTGCCCCTGTTGCTCCTTTCGGGATGGCAAGTGTAGTCTTCCACACCCTTAGTGGCACAGCCGTTGCCTTAGCGTCGGTTGATGCGTCTCTCGAGGACATTCAGCGGCTGGCCGCCCGCCTCATTCCCAGCACACGGTTTTGGGTTGTCATTCCGCCTCCTTCCCTTCGTGCCGCTCACATGCACACGCACATCCGCCTTCGCAACGGAGATGCGTTTGGCTTTCTGCCTGACTCAACACAGCCCGGCTCTACGCGGTTCCCTGCTCTGCACTACCCCTCCCTTGATAGGGCGCGGCAGGTTGCCAGCTGGTCGTTGTCTTTCAGGTTCGACACAGGCGGCCCCGTCACCCTGTGGACAACCTCCAGCCGTTTTGGCCAGCTGGTGTATGTACGCGACAATGCGTATTGGGATCCTCTAGGCCCCACATTTAGAAGCCTAGGTGGAGAGACCCTAACAGGCTCCTGGGTACCAGTTCTTACGGGTGACCTGTCGGACCTGCATCTAATGTCCCGCACCTCAATTTCTGAAGCGCATGTGCTCTTTCTCTTGCCGCCAGAGCAGACACCGGTGGGGGTCTTCCTAGCGGGCTGCAACACCCATCGCATCCCCTTGGGATGGCAACTGTTACCTGCCATTCGTTATGTGCGTGCTGGTGGCACGTTGCGGGATGGGGACGTCTTGGTTATTGCCCCGAATGCTGATCTTGTTTGGGACCCCTTCAGTATACGGCCTCCCAGTCTAGATGATGCTCAGCCGCAGAGTGCCCCGCATACCTGGCATCAATCTCTGACCTCTGCCTCGCCTGGCCCCACGGTTCTGCTTGGCGTTCTCGCGGTTTCGGTTGGTCGCGCTCCCTGGTGGTTAGGGCTAGCCCTCGGGGCCGTGCTGGGGTCTAGCATGGTGCCTTCTTACGAGCTTCTCGATCCGCCCATCCGAGTTGGGCTGTACCCATGGCGCGCCCGTCCAGGTGAAGGCGACCTTCTCGATCTTTCGGACCGACCTGAATTGGATATTGTTCTGCTTAGTCCTTTCACAGGGCCTCGGGAGGCAGGTCGTCTGTATACCTCCGCTACCATTACTGAGCTTAACACCTTGACGCAGGCCTGTGAGCCGGCTTGGGGTGCCGACGTTATGCCCGTCTGGCCGACAGCCGCACTCCCAGCCTTGTTGGTCGTGCCTCGACCCCCTGATCCCAGACTCGTGTGCCTGGCGGTGTCCTCTTTGGACCGGCATTTCTCTGTCTTGATCCCCTGCTCCTCCACTCTGTCATGGTTGGGGGAGGCTCTCCGTTTTCTTCAACCACTTCAGGCGCTCTCCCTGCGGGCGCCTAGTTCCCTGGCCGCGTCGACGCCTCCTGACGGCGTTATCATTGGCGTTCAGGCGATCTTGTTGTCGCCCTGCCCCCGGCAGCCTTTGAGCCTACCTACCAGCCCCCGTGCTTCCACACGGATGCGCAGGTTCGGCATTGTGCTGTCTGGGCAGTCGACTTTTCGGTCTCTGTCCGGATAAATTTCATACTTTGGCGCCCTGGGGTCCGTGCAATACGGGGACATGCACCCGAAGGGGCACAGTGGCGGGCCCTCGACTTTACGTTTGCCGGGGAATTCTGTCAACACTATCCGGGGCGTTGGGTGCCGGTACCATGGATTGCCCAAGACCATGCCCATTTAGTTGTTGTGTCTGAGGACCCGACATACGTCAATGTGGTCATTGAAGCTGACGGTAAGTGCTGGTGTGCCCCAGTTACTGCCGCGACGGACGCCTGGCAGTTATGGAATGACGTGCCCTCCATCTCCACACAGCCACGAGTTCTGGGTCTTTCACACCAGGAACTGCGCCAAGGCACTGTCCTCCGCAATGGTGACGTTGTGTCAGGAGCTCCCCAGGTCGCCTCGCCTTCGGGTGGCGTTCGGGTTCTCCTCGTTTTCTTTCTTTCTGCCCGATTTCTACCGACTTTCCCGAGCTCTTTAGTTCTGATTGCTGGCCTGTTTTTCGGCTGGCATCATGAGGCCGCCGGTGCACGCCACCTAACCATCGCGGTTGGCCTTGCTGCCACCGGGCAGAGTCATGTTGGGGCAGTTAGGACGCATGACACACCCTATCCTGCAGGGGAATGTCACCGCCTCTGGGAGCCTTCCGGCTCTGTGTCAGGGCCGTTCTTTGGTCCCGTTGATCGTCCGCCTGAGGAGTTGCGTCATGCCGCTGTTGCGTGGTCTGATTTTACTCAAGTCCTGCCACCTCAGGATCCTCGCATAGTGGATTGGGTGCCTGTCCCTTCGGATCCCCTCTTCGTTGTTGTCTTGCTCCAGTGCCCGCCTGCGACTCGAGCCGCCATCTTGCCAGCCACGTGTCACGCTGCAGACCTCACTCGAGCTTGTCGACGGTCGGTCCCTGATTTAGCTTGTGTTTTGGCTTCGCCTGAAATCTGGTGTGGCACCGCCACTTCCTTTACCCCAACCCTCTTCCTTTGGTCTGGGGACGTGCTGACCCTGGCATGTGCCGGCTGGGCTCCACGCTTGCGCTCTCCCAGCGGCCGCTACTGGGATACATTCTATCAGGCCCGTAAATTTGCCTTTTGGGGTAGCCCCTTTCAGATCCGCATGCCGGGCCTCTTGTTTGCGTGGTCGGCCGGCGATCCTGTTCCCTTGACGGTTCACACCGTTCAAAATGAAGTGTGGGACCCGGTGCACTGCACGTTCCGACCCTCTTTGGCCCGGTACAGTGTTGACCGTTGGATCCCGGCTGCCCGTTGTGACCTGCTTGGCCTCCATCTTGTCCCTGAGAGCCTTAACCCGCATTGTGCACATGTTCTGCCCACGCAGCCACCTCTTCGGTTGCTGGAGGTCTCCCGTTATAGCACACAGGGTCTGATTCGGGATGGTGATAGCGGCTCTTTTGGTAGCAGCGCTCCCTCCCCGCGTCTTCTGCTGTGCCTTGTTGGCCTTCTGCTGGCGCGGAATGCCTTGTCGCTCTGGCCCAGTGGAGGGGCTCTCCTTCTTGCAGGGGCCTCCTTTGGGGCTTTCCCCTTCAGTGACACACTTGTCTTTCCGGGTGTTGCTCCTGTCGCGCTGCCGGTTACTGTGCAGAATCTTCGGGTTGGGTCGCACATGTGGCCGCAGATTGCAGCCAGCCGGGGTTGTTTTACCGCGGATGGGGGACCTCGCCGACGTGGAGCGCTGCCCTTTTGGCTTGCCGCCCCTGAGCCAGCTGCGAGGTCTGGGGCCCAGACTGCTCCTGTTCCACCTGCATGGTCTGCGTCCTTGCTTGAATGTTATGGCCGTGCGTGGGGAGCGCCGGCCGATGACCGCGACTCCGATGCCGTTCATGAAGCAACTCCGGCGGCTCATTGTCTCGATTTGCAGGACGCCGGGTATCACTATGCCGGCTTGGCAGCACATTATCTGTTTAAGCCCCTTCTCACTGACCTTCCTTCGTCACTCGCTCCCCTGCTTCATCAGGGATGGTGCCGTTTTCCCCGTTGGCCAGGCGGTGTCCCTGATGAAGTCTTCATTGCCACTGATGGTAGTGGGTTATGCAGGGGAGGCTGGGCCCTAGCTGTGTGGGTTTCGTGGAAGGGCAATTGGTATCGCCTAGGCTGGGACGCCGGCAGCCTTGCTTCTACACCCTGGCTTCCCTCGTTTCCTGCAACTCATCTTGACATTCGTTCTTACCTGGGGGAACTGAGCGCCTTGGTGTCTGCTGCCGCCTGGTTTACGGTGTGGTGGGACAACATGCAGCTCTTGACCGGACACGCGCCTGCCAGGGTTACCCTAGCAGTTGACAACAGTGCAGCGCTTCAAGTCGCGGGGGGCCATGCTTCGGCGACAACGCCTCATGCCCGTGTCTGCCGGGCCTTGTGGCAGTCGATTCAGTCCCGATGTTCGACGCATTTCAGGCATGTGCCGGGACATACTGGCAGCCTTGTCAACGAAATAGCCGATGCCTTGGCGGGGTACGGTACTGTTCATGACCGTTGTGCGTCTGTTGGGTGGTGCCGCCTGCCAACTACCTTTGGGGACTCACTTTTAGAGTGTGCTCCGCTCATGTGGCTCTTGCCGCAGGCACGCCTGGAAGAAGGTCGGTTGTGTTGGCGCTCCTTGGGATGGGTCGATTGCCCCCACACTTCCATGCAAGTGCCCCCACCGATACAGCCTCATGTGCGGCAAGATGACAAGCAGGTCAAGCCTCTTCGTACCACCGTCACCCTGGTGCAAGCCAACATCCAGACAATGAAAGATGTTGATGTGTCCTTCTTCAATAGGGATGGACACGGGCAGCGTCGCATCTACTTGGCTAAGCAACTTCGAACTCTGGGGGTCCATATTGCCTTTCTTCAAGAGTGCCGTAGCCGCCCGGGCCGGTGGTCTTCCCACGGCTTTCTCAGCTTCCGGTCTGGAGCCGAAAAAGGGCTGTTCGGGGTTGAAATTTGGATCCGCCCTGACCTGCTGCACCCTGCATTGAGTCTGGATGACTTTCGCATCCGCTTTGCCAGCCCGCGAATTCTGCTAGTGCAGTGTCAACGAGCTGAGCTACCGGTTACTCTTGTTGCAGCCCATGCGCCACATGCTGAGAGGCCGGATGCGGATATTCGGCGATTTTGGCATGATCTCAGGACGCAACTTCTTCCGGCCTGCAATCGCGGTACCGTTCTGCTAGGGATTGATGCTAACGCCGACTTCATTGGCCATGATGAAGAAGAGACCCTTGTGGGAGACCTTCTTAATCTCCGCCCCGCCAGGCTTGGCGACGATCTCCTTCTTGCCTGTGCACATGATACGGCGCTTGCTGCCCCAGGCACATGGTCTGAGGTTTGCACTGGACCCACTTGGACTTGGCAGCACACAGGAGGGAAGACCCAACGCTTGGACCACCTTCTTATTACTCACGGCACTCGGGTCTCTGAGTATCGCCAATTTCCTGAATTTGACATCTTGAATGGCGAGGCCAGGGATCATATGCCCATTGTCACTACTGTTGACGTTTCCGGGAAGTCCGCAGGTAAAATGCATCCGCGATGCCCCTACTCGGCTGACTCCGGTGCCTCTGTCGCTGAGGCTGTCTGGGACGCTCTCCACCAGTCTCCACCTGGAAGTAGTGCCGAGAGGGTCCAGCAACTCTGTGATGCCCACGACCATGCGGTCCGTCGCCTTCCTGCCCGGCCCCCTCTTCAAAAAAGGCAGCCTTATCTGTCTGAAGTCGCTGCCGGCCTCCTTGAAACCCTTCGTGATGCACGGGCCGAGGTTAGGCGGCTTCAAACCCTCTATCACCGGCAACTCTGTCTGGTTGCCTTCAGGGCATGGTGCCGCCGTCGGGTTGAGTCCCCGGCCCTCCCTTGGGAACTTCACCAGGTCCGCATGATGCTGGCGCATTTTGCACACGTGTGTTTCCGGTTGCGAGCTCAGGCTCATGCACAGGCACGGCTGGATAAGCAGGCTTACTTTGAATCCATGCTCCTCGGTGCAGTCGACCACTGGCATGCCACCGGGCGCCCTCTCGAGGCGGTTGCCAAGCTGTCTTGGGCATCCAAAGGCGCCAAGCAAAAACGTGATGTTAGGGCCGCAAGTGGGTTTGACATCGATGAGCAACTCCAGCTGCAATTCCAGCAGCAGGAAGATGGCCGTCCGGTGTCGGATGCCCAATTGAGTGCGGCCTTTTCTCTCTGGGCTGCTGCACCGCGTGGCGTTTGTCTTTCGGCACTACCCACCCTTCTTGATGTTGAACACATGTGTCGACTCCAGCGCCGCGGCAAGGCCCCCGGCCCGGACCACATTCGAAATGAGGTCTGGCGAACCCATCCCGATCGCGCCGGGCGCTGGTTGTGGCCTATGTGGGTTCATCTTGCTTGGGGAGAGGCTGAGCCACTTCACTTTAAAGCTTCTACTGTAGGCGCTCTTCACAAAAAGGGCCCAGCTCACATTCCTGCCAACTTCCGTTCCATTGCCATGCTGAATGGAGTGGCTAAGTTGTGGCACTCTCAACTTCGGGCCACCCTGGGTCAGGAAGTTATCGCTCATTACTTTCCGACCCAGCTCGGTGGTAGGCGAGGCGTCGACACCGGCCTTGCCCTCACTGTCTTCCGCTCTGCCGTTGATCTAGCTTCCGTTCACGGCCGTTCCTGGGCTGCCTTGTTTGTCGATATTCAGGCCGCCTACTATGAAGCGGACAGAACCTTGCTTTTCCATGGCCGTGACCTTGAACCAGCTCTCGCGGGCCTGCAGTTGCCTCGTCATGTACATGGCCTCATTCAGGATGGCGTCCTCGCGGGTCTCGGGGTTCCCGCTGACCAGGTTGCTCTCCTGCGTGACTGCGTCGAATGCTCGTATTGGCGCCTTGTCGGCCAGCACCAGGCCATCATGGCAGGTCGAGGTTCTCGGCCCGGGGACGGCCTTGCCGATGTCCTGTTCGGAGCCTTGTTTGCTGTGATTCTACAGTGCCTTCATTTTGCGCTCAAGGCTGAAGATATTGTTCATGCGGCATCCTCTGATGCCCTTGGACGACCCGATGCTTCCCTCCAAATCGCATGGGCTGATGACCTGTGCCTGCTTGTTGATTTCATCCGAGCCACTTGGGCTGTCTCGAAGTTGCGACGCCTTTGCACTATCGTCCTCCAAGTTTTCGAGGCCTTTCGGTTCCGCGTCAACCTTGGGGCGGGGAAGACAGAGGCGCTTGTCCACCTCCAAGGAGCGGGGGCTAATGTGGCGCGCAAGGATCTCTTAACCCCTGAGCCCCTTCTTGCTCTTAGTGATGGGAGAGGCATTAGGGTTGTCCCTGAATATAAGTACCTAGGGGTCGTGCAGCGTTGCCGTGACACTGGCCGACGGGATGTCGAGGCAGCCGCCGCACGTGGCAACTCTATCTGGACTCAAGCCTCTGGACTTGTGCATTCTGAGAAGTTGCCGTGGATGCTCAAGTCCGTCTGGCTGCAGGGACGGACTCTCCCAGCAGCGTACTCCTCCCTCGCCACTACCTTAGCTCGTTCTGAACGAGCCTGGGGACCCCTGAATGGATTCTACGACAAATGCCTTCGTCAGATTGTCGGGTCTTGGGATGCTGGGCACCATGTTGCCTCAGTCCAACTGCGGGCCTGTACCGGGGTCCTGGATGTGGAATGCGCTACGGTTATCGCTCGTGTGCGCCTGTTATGCCGCATTGCCTCGGGCCGTTCCCCTGAGGTATTTGAATTGTTCCAAGCCAGCTGGGATCGCGGCGGGGAATGGTCTTCTCTCCTTGCTGACGCGGTACGGCGGGTTTGGCCGGCCTGTGGCCTACCAGCACTCCAGACAGGCGAGCCTACCCTTCTCTGTGTGCGACGACGCACCAAAGAGATCCTCTCGGCTTGTCGCCGGATCAGTCGGTCCGGCACTATGCTGCTGGCTCTCCATCGGGCGTGGAGGAGTCATGGCGGTCCGCCACCCAAGCGTGTGATTGGTCTCGCGTCCCCTCACATCTGCCCGGAGTGTGGTGTGACTCTCCCTTCGGCGCATGCGCTAGCGGCTCATGCTCACCGTCTTCATGGGCGAGTTGCTCTCTGCACACAGTACACGTTGGGGACGATCTGTCTGTGGTGTCTAGTTGAATTCCATAACGCTGCGCGTCTCCGGTATCATCTTTTGCACTCACCGGACTGCGAGCACGGGCTGCGGTGCTGTGTGGGCCCTGTCTACGAGTATGGTACAGGCACCAAACGTCGCGGCAAACAAGGCCATGCCAGGGCCCCGGTTTTCCGTGTCGCAGGCCCGTGTAACGCTACCGCGGCACAGCGCCGTGCCGCCGAGGAGGGGCGTTGCTGGACAGAAGAGGAGCTTTCTGCTGAGTTACGCACTGTCGCTCCTGGTCCAAGCTTCTCCGAGGGCACTCGCTCCTCCCCTGTTGTGCCCTTTCGCCGTGTTGGTGGTAGCTCTACTCTTGCTCCTGGCGACGTGGTTAGCACGGTCCCGTGTCCTGTGGTCTTGCACTCGCCACATGATCCTGTTGCTCTGTCCACCGGAGCCTTGGATTTTGGCTCCCCCACCTCCTCGGTTCGTCCTCCTCTCGCTGACACCGCGGTTGCTTTTGCTCGGTACCAGACACATCCAGCGGACAGGTTCTGCATTGTCTATTGTTTCGATGAGGCTCCTGGTGCCTCGTCGCTTTGCGTCCCCTCTTGTCGGTGGTGTGCGGTGCCTCCCGCCATCTGGTGTCTCCCGCAGTCTTGGGCGCGTTGCTGGAAGCTCTTTCTTGCCCTTGATTCGCAACATCCGTGGTCAGCTGAGACTTGGAGACTCACTGCCTTTCTGCGCCAGGAGGAACGCCCATCTCCGGGCGCCACCCTTGGATGCCTGACGTGCTTCGATCAGATCGCGGCACAGCGGGTCCTTTTCCTGCGGAGGATGCTCACGTGTCTCCACTTGCTTCGTCAGATTAAGGTCGGAGCTGCTCTGTGGTGCGCTGTTCCCTTGCCTAGTGCCTTCTGGGAACTTCTGCGTCGTGTCGTGCCTCTCGCAGTTGGTACTTCGGCTGTTGCAGTGCTTGGTTTTGGCACTGTCATTAGCCTACCTGCGGTCGCCCCGCGGGCTCTTACCTCCCTTGCCTCGGGTTGGCTTTCCTTGGCCTCTCCCCGTCGCTTGGCGATGCCGCACCAGCTTCCTTTGTAGTTTTGCGGTCCGAGTCCTTACGCCTGAGGCGTAGTTCTCGCCCCGCCGTCCTTCCGTTTTGCATGTAGGGCTGTAAGTTCCCGCTTTTCCAGGACCGCGGCCTCGCCGCTTTTCGGTCCGTCCTTTCTTGCACAGGACTAGTACCTTCTACGCAACGAAGAAGAAGAAAAGGTTCAGGCTTTAGGGGTTTAGGGTTCAGGGTTCGAACTTGTCTAGAGTCTAAATGCGTTGGGGTTGTTCCTTTTCTGTTTCTGGCTTATTGGATTTCTGATTGAACCCGATACTGAACATTGGGGACCAATAATTGCCGCGGCTTCCGATTGCATGCATCGAGCAGAAAACATGCCAGCCGGAATGCTCGAAAGCACAGTTTAGGGCTTAGGCTTCTGGGGGTGCACATTGAAGCTTGCACTGGTAGCTCTGGACACATTTACGCAACTGCACGCGGATAGTTTTAAGATGTTGAAGGTCAAAGCCGTCTCTGCACCCAGAAACAAGTGGGACAGGGAACTACTGTAGATGCACTGATAATCAGGGGTAGATTATAGTACAGCTCTAACAATCACTCCTCCGGAAAGATGTCGGCAATTATTCCGGCTTCTACAGTATCCTCACTCGCACTGATTCTTGCCGGTTCCTTTCTCCACGTTGAAGGGTGTCCCCTTTAACGTGTCCTGAAGCTGCATGAGAGCGTATGAAGGAAACGGGGGCCAGACGCCTCTATAGATGGATCCAAACAATAGAGCCTCCCTTGAAAAACTCACAACAAGACCTGAAAGAACTCTTGAAACGCAAACTCGTAAAACCTCGTTCTCTGGATCCTTCCACAGGTCTAGATACAGAAGACTCAATCCATGGAGCTTCGATAGGATCAGGGACTGCCTGGGGATGCACTTGCCCCGCCCTGCAGTTTTTTTTTTTTAAGTGCAGTGACGCTTTCTCCACTCCGCACGCAGAGCAGGTCCAAGGCCTGCCTCAAAAGGGCTTGCACTAACGCCCTGCAGTTTAGGGCGTAGGGTCAGCTTGCACGTCGTTTAGGGTTCAGGATTACAGTCTTTAGGGGCTCCAAACCTTGAAGCCTATACCGAAACCTTTGAAGCCTGAACCCTAAACTATAAACACTCAATACTGAACCCCAAACCCGAAAACCCCCAACACGAAACCCTGAAGCCCAAAAAAATGGCAAGCGCCTCCGTATGTAAGTCCTCGATCCGGGTCTTGATCCTTGACTGGGGTAGGGTTGAGAGATTAAGGTTTCACAGTCTTACATTTGAGGTTGGGGCTCTGAGCTTTACACTCTTTGCAAATTGCCTGTGCGGCGTTAACTCTCGCTTGGGGGTGTTGGGCTCAGGGCGCTCGGCTAGCGTTCTGGGAGAGGCTCTTTCGGAAGCTTATGGAATTTTGCAGTCCAGGGTGCTACGGTCTCGGGATTGAGAATTAGGAGCGGGCTAAACTTGATCTGCCGAGGTGCCGGGTCTGCTTGTCTTGCATCTGCGAGACCACCTGCCCGCGGGCGTGCTTGTTACTTACCCTACTTGTCGGGTATCATGCGGAACTAAAGGTTAACCTTATTGGTTATATAGGGATTATATAGGGGCTATACTACCAAAGAAGTTAAAGGTTGCCTGCTCTACTACTAGGTTAGTGTTCAACCTGGTGAATCACATGTAAAACGCGATCAACCATGGTCAAGACTATCAGTGACTATCAGTGTGACTTGCTGGGGTTGGTCTGAACTAATGCCCTGAACTAATGCCAAACCTACGACGACTACTACTACTTCTTTTTCTACTACCACCACTACTACTACTACTACCACCACTACTACTACTACCACCACGACTACTACTACTACTACCACCACGACTACTACTACTACTACTACTACTACTACTACTACTACTACTACTACTACTACTACCACTACTACTACCACTACTACTACCACCTAGAAAGATCTGGGGCTTGGGGCTGAAGCCTTCTCTGGCAGTCTCGAGCTGCGCATCTTGCGGCTTTTTCAAGCTTTACATGAGCACAGCGTCCTCCATCTTGGTCTTCAGGCGTTGAGGCTTTGGGTTTGGAGCTTGGAAGGCCGCTGGTTCGCAGCTGAACCCTCAACTTTAAAAACTAAAATGTGTAGGTCTTGTGGGTCGGGATCAGGTTTAGGAGCTAAGAGCAACATCTCAATCTTGAAATGCGGAACCCCTGAGTGAACATCGTTATGGGGCCTACTGTAGAAAGGTTCTACACGAGAGCTACAACAAGCTTTTGATATACGGATTAGGAAGAAAAGATTATTACCTCACTGCAGATAAAACCCTCAAAACACTAAATCTTTTCAACCGTAACTGGCCCTGAAGCCTAAATCCTTTATAGAATCCTTATAGAACCCTCGCATCGAAAGCCTACCTCCTCCAGCTGCTTCAAGCGAGCCTGCGAGCGGCTTCGGACAGGGTCCGTGCGGGTTGCACACTTGAAGGTATGGTAAATCCCAAAAAGTTGGAAACCAATTTAAGGCCAAATAGTGCTGGGATTCCCTATACATTACTCTTAAGGATTGAGGCTATTGGGTTTCCAACTTTTTGGCTTCTACTTTATAGCTTACCTTGGGTTAGTAGGGAATGGAGGAATGGGGTACAATTATATAACTCTATTACTACCATTCTTCCATTCCTACTAACCAAAGGTAAGATAACTCCAAACCCTAAACCCTAAACCCTGAACCCTAAATACTAAACCCCAAACCCGGAATCCTAAACCCAACACCCAGCCCGGCAGTTGAGGGTCATTCATATGGTATGGGTTGGTTTGCAGCTCCTAAACCCAAATGATCGCAGCTCCAGGATAGCCCTGAAGAACAAAAGCAAAACCCTTGCAAGTAGGGGAGAGGGCTTTGAGTTTACAGTTCAGCGTTAGCGTTCCACAACCCAAAAAAAACCTGAACCCGTCGCCTTAACCCTAAAATCTTAACCCTAAGCCCTAAACCCTAAACCCTAAACCATAAAACCTGCAATCCTAAACCCTTAACCTCAAAAGCTTGGGGCATTTTTCGAGCTCAGGGTCCAGGCTCTGGAGAGCGGAGGATGTCTCGTCGACCTGGACTAGGGGTTTAGGGTTTAGGGTTTAGGGGTTTAGGGTTTAGGGTTTAGGGTTTAGGGTAACCGCTGCAGACCAAAAACTCGAAGAAACCCGGGTCGCACGGCCAGCGGATCCTTAGCTGAGGCCTGAAGGCCTATTCCTGAGCACACATCCCGCTGTGCTAGCTGTGCTACATGGGAGTTTCCAAAAAACAGGGGACCCTATTATCGTACCACTAAATAGTAGTGTCCTTATTCTAAGCACCCCTATTTAGGGCACCCCGAATTTTCGGAAACTCCCACATGGCACGCAGAGTCATGCCTAAGCGCAAAGCGCATGAAAAACCTGTGCCGTCCGCTCGAGGCCGAGAGTCCAGAGACCTCATGATTCCGTAGCCAGAGACGCCAATATCCCTTAGCTAAGACTACTACTTGTAATTTCAGGCGACTTAGTAAGTAGCTAGGTTATAAGTAGAGTTATAAGTACCCTAAATGGAGATACCCCAATTAAAACCCTACTTATAACCTACTTACTAAGTCCCCTGCCCTTCCAAGTAGCCAGAGACGCCAATATCTAAGGGTTCTCCATAAGGAAAGTAAGGGATATACCATGAATCATAGAAAGGATCCTACTAAAGTTTCAAAGTATATTCCCTAATTAAGGGATGTTGGAGTCTCTGTAGCCAGTCCTCAGCTGCACCGAAGGGTTTAGTGGTCTAGGGCTTTGAGCTTTTAGAGGTTTAGGGTTTAGGGGTTTAGGGTTTAGGGTTTAGGGTTTAGGGTTAGGGTTTAGGGGTTTTGGGTTCAGGGTTCTTCCAAACCCCCAAAGCCTCGTAAAGCCCTGTACGGACCTTAGAAAACCCGAGCATAAAACCCTTGTGCACCTGCTTATAAATCCCTCAGGCGAACCCTGATGTAAAACCCCTGAAACTTTAACTCTGAGACCCTTACATCAAAGCACAAAGACTCAGTGAGGCAAACCCTCAGAAAATACAACTATATAAGTAAGTCAGTAAGACTCCTAGCACAACACCCCACCCCTAAGAATCTTGAACAAACTTACACGAATAGGACCCTATGCGCCCGGCCTTTTCCTGCACGGACATGAGCCTAAACACTGCCTCCGGCGCGCTCGTCACGACCTCCACAGCGGGTTTGGGGCTTAGGGTGTAGGATCTTGGGTTCAGGGTGTGGGGTTTGGGGTTCAGGGTGAAGCTTTCTGGCTTGCACTTTAGGCGTTAGGGAATACGGCTTTGTTACTGCTGTATGGTGTTTTGCAGTCTTTCAACGGTTTTCAAGTCACTGGGCTTGGGCTGCAGTATCGGGGATGTCACTTACACTAGGGCTCCGGCTCGGGCCGTTACGGTCTTTAGAGGAAGGGTGAGTGGCTTACAATATCTTGTAATGTAGGCTCATGTTAAGAGTTCAACGGTTGGGTTCAGGGTTTGAAGCTGACGGTCTAGATTCGAAAAAGGCCTTTGTATTGATACGTACCAATACTCTTCCTTAGGGCTTCGGTTGTTCATGGCGTATCACATACCCCCAAGCCCTGCTCTAACTTTCAGTGCTCGCATATTTTTGGCCTGCGGGCTCAACGCACCGCCCGTGAAGGCCACGAAGGCCACTTACCACTTCACGCCGTGGAGCCAGAACTCACGGCCCCGCGCCAGCAAAATAGTCCAAATAATTGCACACCAAGATCACAGAGTGCTGTAAACATCATCATGACCGCAGCAATACTTCGCGATGAAGCAAACAGGAGTAATCACGTCCAATGCTGACATTATCATGTTGTTTCAGAGTGGGACAAAAGCAAACAATGCTAGTGATCAGCAAAGATATGAAATCAGGGGGACATGTGTATAGTCAACTTAGAACCAGTGCGCCCCAAGATGGCTACTGCTCTACATTCGTGTGCCGCGG